ATGACCATTCATCCTAGCGGGAGGACTCCACTCCCAGGACCAGGAGGTCTCGACAACCCTATGGCTGTTGTGTGGTAGTCGTCTTACAAATTAAACAGAATTGCACTCTATTCATGCCCACGATTCCTGACAAACTATACAATAAAGACTTCATCTTCTGTTGTGAGCTCTCGAAAGCTCGGTCTTTTGATGGTTTTAAATTAAAAATCAGGCCCGCACTTATTTGAATATGGAAGGTCATATCCCAGTATCAAATTTTTCATGTTAAGGAGGCACTACAGTTCCCTTATTCTACGCAGAAGCTGATAGGACGAAGGCTTCAGGGCTTCAGAGGACTGGTAATCCCTCGACCAGCCTAATTTATGGCTGATGAGATCGGATCCATTATGAAGAGATTCAGAGCTGACCATACGAATACGGACACACGAACTGGTGACTTTGAATTATTGCTCTCTAGCCCCATGCAGGCTTGATCCGCAAATTCTCTGACTTTAAATCTTCGCTACTCGATTAATATAACCATTATACTTTTTCCATTAAAAGGGCTAGAATATCCGTGAAAGTCGACATAGTTACATTCTTTATGACTCTTCGTGATCGATTTTTCACTACGAAAACAATGAGCAAACCTCGAACCATTTCAGGCAAGCATAAACAACACCGTGCGAAAACCTAACTGGATCGGGGGTAAAAGAAGTGTTAATGCAATTGGCAACGCCTGCATGGGATTTCTATTGAAAAATTAGCTACATTTCCGAATACATAAAATGATTTAAATACCGGAATATTCCTGGGAAAGCGGACTCATTATTACAAAGAATCAGTTAGAATATTCAAGCAGAAAATTTGAAGTTCAAATTGAGTTATCAGAATACTACTGACGAAATAGTAAGCCTTTAAAATATCATTTAGCAGTTTTACAGACCTTCAACTGGGTTTGCTTTTTCTAGAATTTCATGTCTGCCCGCAAGTATTTAAAATACATCGCGAAGTAGGAGCCCAGTCAAATAAACGATTCAACGATCAAACGGTCAATCTGTCCGCAAGCACAGCGAATAAAACATGTACAAAGTGGTCTCTGAAACTCCGTATAAGTCATGAACACTTAATTTTTACGCCATACAATATTGATAGATATCTGCTTGATTGTACATGCTCTGTGACAAGCTTTCAGTTCAAGTGTAGACTCCATGACAAGATTCAAGCTTCACGTAATAGCGGAGAATCATAAACTGCATCATTGTCGTGCACTGTGCACGTGCCCTCAACCGTTGTTACCCTTAAATAGCCTCGGCAGACCGATACCGAGGTCTAAAGGTCCCAAACGAGATTGGCCAATAAAGACCAACAAACCGCATCCACGAGATCAATATGTGACGCAATTCAAATACTTTGCTTGTTGTGCAGGTCTTGAAAGAAGGGTTGCCACGAAAGACTTCAATGCCTCAATGATCCAAAATTCCTTCGAGGATCACAACCTAATATCTCATGTATAATGTGAGGGTCATCTGGTATCAACCATGATGAAGTAAATCGGTTAGAAGATGTTCAGAAAGATCCAACTACTAGAAATCAAGTACTCTGGTTATAAATTCTTGCAATGATATTTCAACAGTCGACAAGACACATGTGGCTTTAGACCAATCAGTGCGTGTGGCCGCCCTAAAAAGAAGAAGAAGGAGATTCGTTAAGGCTTTCAACATATGGTTTTTTCGGCAAATCACCTATTCGACGGCGGCTGCCCATCCCACAATGGCGACAATGTACCCAGCACGCGTCCTGATCTTGCATGGGGAAGAATGATAAAAAGTTTTTTTGGGTGTCAGAGGGAGGCTCGTCTTCACCCACTGCCTCACCGGCCACGGTAAGGTTCCCACAGAAGTCTAATTCGACGACCTGAAAAAAGCGCTTCGTGGTTGCTTAAGTGCAGGAAAGGTTTTGGTTTTTAAATTAGATCCTCATTCGCCGCCTGGCACGCAAGACCTTCGAGTTTTAAGACATATGATTTTGTTAACGGACTTCAACAAATAAAATTCGTTTGATCTCCCAGACCAGAGGTTTCAATTAAAATGCAATTATATCTAGTTAGAGGGAATTTTTCGAAACTCAGGTTTTCGTGATCATAATATCAAATAATTTCGTGCAAAATATTTTTTTATATGCATGATATGTCGGGATCCGGATCCCAGATAGCTCAGTGTGACCTTTGCATAAGATTACTTTTTAAGTACAATTTTAGGCTGAAGCTTGTACCAGGTCTCACTAGAGCATCTCTAAGATTAGAGCGGACACTTGAAGGGCCGTGAGATCAGTGCCAATGGCAGAGATCATTCAGACATGTCCGGAATTGGCCAGCTTTTGAAGGGGTCATCTCTGACAAAAATGGCCATCGTGACAATAGTTTGTGTATGTTTCTTTTCTTAGTAGTGAAAATAGTTTGTGAAATATCACAGCTCTAACATCATGATTTATAGGGTAAATAAGGTTTAACAATAATCGTAGAATTTGTACCAATTCATTTATTTATCTTCGACTGAATTGCGTAGGATGCTCATGCAAATGAATAACTGCAGGCAATATCTATCGAGCAATGCTTCAAACAGTGATTGCATTGCTGATTAAAAACTAATGTCTTTTTTACCATTACAAGCGAGCGTATCTTCCACCTCGTTCATTACGATTTCTCGTATATCCGTAGTCATGGTTGATGTATTGGCAGCTGACCTTTTGCCCATTCCTTTGGCACCTAATATTCAGCGCCCACAATTTTCAATGAGCCGTGAAAATCCAGCCTTAGAAAATTTATATCTGAATGTTCGTCACAAAATCCTAATACTGAGTGTCAATTTTGACTACAAAAATACTTCTTCAGATCATGGTAGGAAACTGGAAGGCAACTGCACGGTCGTCGGCCCTGATTCTGCCGTGATTGCTATTAAGAATCAGAAGGACGAAAGTTCAATCACTGACGACAGACGTCGGCAACGAACAAATTGATGCAAGTCGACGAGAGGGCAGAGGTCTTCTATGCTCTGTCCGACTTTTTTTTCCTCGTGATCTTAGGCCTTATATGGTTACAAAATACACGCAGTACGTAACAACAGGCATCGCGCCGCCACTTCCCACCGACATTGAGTCAGGAAATACCAGACTCAGTCACCACATTCCGTTTTGTAATTTGTAAAATAAGATTTATTGAGTTGATAATTCATCATATATAGGTTTAAGTTCGTCGAAATCAGTAAGGAAACTCTCAAAGCAAAATATATTCCGTTTGTGGAACAAGTGTGCCTTCAGCCTAGCAGGTTCATCCTTGACAACGCGATGCTATTGGACGGCAGCGCTCAACTTCTCGTCGCTGATTGGTTACCTTTTACCTGGAATGAACGAAGCCAAGGATTTATGAAGTGGGTTGTTCTTGATTAGACTAAACGTTAACTTATAAATAATAACGTTTTATTAAAGTCATCATTACTTTAACCTCTTTTATATGAATCATTAACATGAATTTTCCTGATCATTCTCGTAAATTTCAGTTTCATCTAAATATTGATACAACGAAATAAATACATAACAAACACTAACAAGCTTATCACAACGAGCTGAAAAGCTGATCGCACGATTTCATGCCATCTTTAAGTTGAGAACACAATAGAAGAAAACAATGCGTCAGAACATTATAAGTATTGAAGAGCCTTCGCTATCAATGTGATTTTTTGACGGCAGTACCGATCTCAACCCAAAGACCAAGAAAATACTTTGTGGATTAATGCCAAAAATCATTCACCACCGTTGCAAAAAGATCTCCCTCGGACATCTCTTCGAATTTTAATATTGCTGAAAAATACTGGCCTAACTCAAAATTCTTATTTAATAACATCACAGACACGATTATTTATCGGGGCAAATTCTTAGCTCTAAATAATACATATTATCAAGTTATGCGTCTTTGTTGAGAATTAATTAATTTATTTTGTTTAAATTTTATATCAAGTCTTGTAAATCATTATGTCAAGAAACGTTGTCCTGGACCACGCTGTGGTAAACATGATTCTCATTTCGGTACGCGGACGCTACATTTTGGAACTTGATTTGTCCCGCAACGGCCGCGACTCGTGCCGCGGCAACAGGTGGTGGCCTTCTAGCTCTCGAGTCTCAGTGGCGTCAGGGACGCTTCGTGGCGAGCATTTCAACGCTTGTTGTCCCTACGCAACATCTCTTGTAGAGGACCTCTTCTTTCGGGACCGAAAACGTTGCTTCGTTGAAGTCGTAACGTTCTAAAACACAAACGTTGGGGGAAACATACAATAAACGTTCGTGAGATTTGTGATTCAGCTGCAGTAGCCGTGTTCAAGTCTGACCAGCGTTGGAGAAGTCATTTTCGGAACTATCAAGTTGAAGACATTTTTTGAGAAAAATTTGCAAAAGCTTGTAGAGTTAGGAAACTTCTGTAGAAGTTTGATGGATGTTGTGATCGTTTTTAGAGAACATTTAATGATTGCGCTTAGGCTCAATGCATTCAAGTGGTGCAGACAATACTGAAAAAATTGGGGACCTTTTGCGACGCTTGAACTTGCGAGCAAGGAAACGCTGTACAGACAGAAATCCGCGAAGAAGTTGATACAACGCAGTTGAACACTCCGAAGACCGATGCATGAGTGTGCATTCATGTTAAATCCATAATCATGTACCATATTGATTCTTTAAATGCTAACTGTTCATAGTTCAAATCGTTAACTATGTTTTTCGAATGTCCCAAATGTAGTTTCCTGCGACATAATTACAACCAATTTGTTCAATACATCTGACGATTGTTGTGATATTCCGTACATAACTGGACTTAGAAATATTTTTGACATTCTAACTGACGGTTGATTTTTACCCTTCCAGATTATGTTTTGAAATTGAGATAATTTGACATCCAAATTAGATATTACGAACCTGATTTTATTTCTTAACTTGCATTTTTTAATTTTCTCTGAATATTGCAATAAATTCAAGTTATAAATTGTTTTTGAATTTTATAGTTTGAATATTAATAAATGCTTCTAGTTGAGGGTGGTTGTCAACAAGGATTGCCGACAAGCAAGATGGGAGAGTACCAAGAAGTGAGTATATATTTTATTTGCAACAAATGTAGAACCTGTAGAACTAGCCTTAAAGTTAAACTGCTTGAAGTAATTGCTTCACTTCATATTGTGCAGAAACCAAACAGATATTTACATTTATTTGGATACTTTCAACGATAAAGTTTGTCATCAGTAACTTACATTGAACTTATCGTCGCACTATCATCTTCACATCGAAAGTATTATTTCCATTCACAACGTCGAACTTATTTTCGCAGAGATGAGAGCCATAACTGAAGCTTAGATATTCATTGGGGCGAGATGGCGCTTGTGAACAACGCATTCACAAAAATCCATCAGCTAATTTTCCAGGTTCTAATTATAAATTGCAAAAGGTGACAGTTGAATTAAGAAGAAAATGTCCTTATAGACAGAGCTCTTTAAACTCAACACCACATAAAAAGTACAATATTTCGCATCGAAAACTTAATGTGAGAATAAGGCAAATACGTCAGAATTACCTGAGGAACGTATTGGTATTGGAACAAAAATATGAAATTTGTTAAAAATAATACATTACGAGCCTAGGACTTGCATAGTAAACTCACACTAGCGGAGAGTATAGTATTATCCCACACTGAATATTGATGTGCAGTGTGCCAATAATGTCTTGCTGAATAATGTCTTAAGGTTCACTGAATGTCTTGCACTCGTAGAGGGGAAATGTCAAGGCAAGCTTCGTCCTAACAGGGATTCCCACCTTTATTAATCGCTTAAATATTCGTAAGCAAGCTGTTTTTCGTCTCGATTTGTTGCCATTTTAACAAGGAACAGTCATTTCATGACTCAAATTTTAATTTCAGTTGATATACGACCTGAAGATGCGACCAAAAAATTCTGTGCAGATTGGAATAAGTTAAGAACTTGATGCAACGCAGTTGAACACTGTTGGATCGTTCCGAAGACTGATGCATGAGTGTGCGTTCATGTTAAATACATAGTCATGTACCATATTGATTGTTAATATTTTAGTCATAAAGCCCTGCATATTTTAGTCATAAAGCCCTGCATCAGCCCTTCATAAAGGGCTGATGCAGAGTGAAGGGAGGAGGTCATTCAATGGACGGTCGATTGTACTTTCACAGCTACGGGGTTTATTAAGTGCATGCTGTGCATTGGCTAATGTGGATTGAACATTAATATGAGCAGCATCAGCGTTGAGACAAAAAGACTATGCTTCATTGGTAAAAATCTTCACAGTTATTACTAAACAAATACCTAATCGCGGATATAAACTGAGAAATAAACAAGCCATAATTTAAATTAGGTTACTGCATGCAACAGATTTCATGTAACTAATTGATGATTGTTGAGTGATTTAAACAATTATTTGTGCGATTTATTAACCTAGTGCCTGAGAATGACCAGGACCGAATTTTTTGCACGCGAGTTACATATTTTTGTTTGAGTGATAACGACTCGATATACGTTTTTTATCTGTATTCTCCCCTTTGCCACCATATTACGGTCTTACATTTACCTCATTCAGCAATTTAATGGATGAATTTCTCACATTTCAGCTGTGGCAGGACATTGAGACTGTCCTGCTGCACGACTTCAAATCTGCCTCGGGCGACAGCAGCGCACGGTCGGAGGTTGGTCACCAAACACCCTCTTACTACGAAAATATCACACCTGCTCATCTCCCAGTCAGCCCTCCACAAACTTCACAGCTCCCAGCGATGTCATCTCACATGCAATTAATCCACGAGAACGTGGCTGCAAGCTCCTATGCTTCCTCGTACTCCGCGGTGTCGAAAAGCCCTCTTTCAGCGTCGTCTCCCCCTCATCCCGACCAGACGGATGCATCAACTTCGGACTTGCGACCTGAAAGCAGTAACACTGGCTGCGATTATTTCACAACATCGACGTTCCCTGGACATGGTGCATCGTCAAACGGTCATGCGATTGTTGGTATCGCAAATACAATTCCTTGTTCATTTTCTGCGGAGCCTTATCATTCAGTGTATGGTTCTGCGTATCACAATAATTCTCAAACAACTTCGCTTCATCAAAGTCCTCCAGCACCTTCAACATCTTCACCTGTGAACAAACATTCTTCTCAATTTCCGAAGATCACACCAGTTAATGCAATCAATTCCTCTTTACCGGCCACACAGTCCGGACAAACTCAAATCAAGCAAGAAATCACCGCTCCTAATTATTTTGGCTCTTGTACTGATTATAGTGCAGAAACGAGCAAGATTGCACTACCAAGTTTCCGAGAAGCAATACAGGATCGCAGAACATGTGAAGACGTTATCATGGGCCAACAAGACATTTGCAATAGTCAAAAAGTCTTGCTACGAACTGGCAATGATCGAAGTATTTCACCCATAACAGGAGATCCATATCCAGGACCTCTGTGCGAGCGATCAAATGAGTGGACTATCAAAGCTGAAAACGATTTCGCTGCAACCGCTAACACTTGCCCATCTTACTGGGACTGGAAAGAGGTTTCAATGTGTCCAGATTACCATCAGAGCTCTCTGCAAAAACACATTACCTACAATGTAAATCCATCAGTCATGTTTCCTGATGTCGTGAATTTAAATGTTCACTACATGCCCAGTCACCATCGGAATTCTTATTCCCAACTTTTGACCCCTCCTTCTTCACCTGGCTTGCGCTTGTGCGACCATCGCATGAATGAAAACATCCCTAATGGCATCGCTCCAAACCTACCCAACCGAACAGTCACAGCAGCCGACACATTCTTGACTCCGGTCGCCTCGACCACGACACTTAAGCCCAAAGTTAGACGTCGCAGAACATGGACCCGACGTCGCAGCATTGTTCACAAATGTTCTCATTCAGGCTGCGTCAAGACCTACGCCAAGTCATCGCATCTCAAGGCCCACATGAGGACCCACACCGGGGAAAAGCCCTACCAATGCGACTGGAAAGGCTGCGGGTGGAAATTCGCGCGTTCTGACGAACTGACGAGGCATTACCGCAAGCACACCGGCGACCGCCCCTTCCAGTGCAGACTTTGCGAGCGAGCCTTCAGCCGCTCCGACCACCTCAGCTTGCACATGAAGAGGCATATGGCGCTTTGATTTAAATTTTTTTTTCATTATTTGATTGGTGACTCTTGGTGTCTGAAGCATTTTCCAGTCTGATCAAGAAACGATTTGCTGAACTAATATTGGTTCATAAAATCTAAGCACGTCATAGAAATGTGAAAGCCGACTTAACTTCCTGATTGTTTATTTTACTGTCATACTTTACGAAGGTCCTCTCGACGGAGTAGAATCAAACCACTCTTCAGCGAGCACAATTTCGCAGAAGAATTGGACAGGTTACGCTACTTGTGCATTGATGCTTCAGTTAAAGACTCTTTGAGAATATATGGCAACTTAGTTGGTAATTAAATATCGCAGAATATAATTCGAAATAATTTAGACAGCTCAAATCAACGTCTATGAGGTCAGAAAACTGAACTTTTGTTGAGCTCACATGCTTGATGACCAAGTCTCAAGTTCTTCCGTGAATAAAACTGTCCAACAGTTAATAGTAATGTTATAAATTGTTACTAAGTAAAGTTAGTTTTATCTGCTCTGCTTTGTTAAGAAAATTAACCAAGCATGAGTATGTCACCAGCGTGGGCAACAGAAGCACACGATAAACCTTGCGACATGGAATTTAATTTCTTTGTAAATTGGAATTCACAGTAATTTTAATTCTTGACTATAGCTTTTCCAATCGATTCACTTCAAGACCAACACAATTTTATTTATGAGTGCAATGAATGTTGACTGAATTGAATTTTTAGTCGAAAACACAGTGCAACGACATTGGAAATAAATTTTAACACCGACAATTAGATTTTAGATTTGTAGTGTGGACATTAATATACTTCCCTTCTGTTTTTTGTTTACAGGGGATAAAAAATTAAAATAGTTTTACTCATTTAATGATATATATAACAATGTTGATACTAACTGAACTAACGAGTTTTAAACTTACGAAATAGCGCCTATAGTAAGTACTAGTTAATATAATATCTTATCGGAAAATACTTGAAGATTCAACCGTTTGCCTGTTGCATTCATGTGAATTTCTTACATAACAGGGATCTTTTTCGTTATTTGAAATTTCAACATAAAATGTTGTTGAAAATTTGTTTTAAACGCGCAAATAGGCGAGAAAATGTTAAGTTGTGAGATGGAGACGAAACCTAGAGCGCAAAACCGCTACACTTAAAATCCTTGATGAAGCGCCTATAAAGACTTTTTACGAAAATCTTTTCTTAATTGTGAATTTATCCAGCCTGCAACAGGATATTTTTGTGTTTTCTTTTTATAATCCTAATTATAATGTTAACTAAAGACTTCAAAATGCATGTAATGAATCTTAATGAACTGATTTTTTTTTCTCTGTTAACTTGAAGTTTTGAAACATATTTGTCATCTTATGTTTGGTAAACATTCACCGGCGTTCCACGCAGCAGTGATTGTCTCAAGGCGTTCACGTGCCATACAACAGTGACTGCGTCACGGCGAACTTTTGGCGAATTAAAATAAATTATTCTATCAATGATTATTGTTCTAAAAATTTATTGAGTAATTCAACTAAATAAAAAGTAATCGGGATTGCAACACGTTAGAGGTAACAGTCACTCAAATTTTAATTCGTTGTTTAGTTCTAGCCGCGGAAATCTCGATGGCTTTACATTTTTAAACTGTTTAGGGGTTTGCCATGATTTTTTAGCAAAATGTTAGTTAGTTATTTGTACTGATATTTTTATACTTTTGTACTTTTTTAATAAAACTGAAAAATCATTAATAATTACTATCCATCGATTCTCAAACGAGAGAATAAGTTAAAGAAAGAGTTAGAAATGTAACTGTGGCAGGAATCTGCTCACCATGCACTGGAATTTTCTGGTCTCCTGCAACATCGCTCAAAGGTATAGATGGCGATAACGAACATGTTAGTCAAATTACTTGACGTACCGGAGAGGGCATAGCGAGTTAAAAATTCATAATATGTAACTTACATAATTATATATAAATGAATATTATATAAAAATATACGTATACTAATAAATAAATATGAAATATCTATTTAATATTATATTGGGCGTAGCGGAGAACACTTTCCTATAGCAAAACTGCTCAGGAATTCTCTGTGCTGAGTGGAGAAGACTTTCCTCTGGCAATCACCGCTCAGGATTTCCCAGTACTGAGCGGAAAACACTTTTTTCTGACAATCACTGCTCAAGAATTCCCAGTACTGAGCGGAAAACACTTTCCTCTGACAATCACTGCTCAGGAATTCCCAGTACTGAGCGGAAAACACTTTCCTCTGACAATCACTCTGCTCAGGAATTCCCAGTACTGAGCGGAAAACACTTTCTTCTGACAATCACTGCTCAGGAATTCCCAGTACAGAGCGGAAAACACTTTCTTCTGGTAATCACTGCGCAGAAATTAAGCTGAGAACGAGCTGTACGTGTCTCCCCCGGACCGGTTATGCAGATCAACATAATGACGACGAACAGCTTTCATTCCTCCATGAGATGCTCGGCAAATCATCTTTCTTCAACCTGATCTATCGCGCGTTAAAGCACTAACCAAGTCCTAGCGCTTTAGAGTGGCAAAAAATTTGTTTACTTATTATTTCGCTATTGATGGGATAGTTTCCAAGTATTTATGCTAGTGCAATTTCCTCCAAGCACAAACTTGTTGTATAGAAAATACATTTTGTGAAGGAATCCATGTCAAATAGTCTAGTAGAAACTCCTGTCACCTCCTGAATGTTTATATATATATATAAAACGCTCCTTTAACTAAAGATAACGAAAACATTTAGGGGCACAAAATTGGCACAAAATATATCAAAAAAAACTCTTAGATAATTCATCGCGACAAACAGAAGATAGGAAATGATATCTAAAGACGTGCGATGACGTCTAAAAAAGAAAAAGAACGTCAATTGTCGTACAGTCGCGTACGGCAACATCGACTGACATACTGTATAATGAGGTTGATTGACTTTGGATGACATTGACTGACGTACGACGACGTTTACTGATTAAAACGTCAGCTGATCACGTGAAATGTTGTCGACTGACGTACATTAACTTTAACTGGCGCACAATTATCTCGACTGAAATAGAAAGATGTCGGTTGATGGAAGATGTCGACGACAGACGTACAACAATTCGCTTGCCTTTAGATGACGAGGATTTTATACGTTCAACGATTTGGAAAGAAGTAAAATGTCGACTGAGTATCAATAATGTTTAATGAGGTGTAATGATATCGACTCACGTGCACTTGTATGGAGGGACATTTAACTGAAGACTGAAAACCGGCGTACAATAATGACGACATCAATATATCCGTGAACTTATAGCAGAGTATAATGATCAACTGAAATTGATCTCCACCCTACACCATACTTCACTATATCCATGACCTGACGGCAGAGTATATTGATCACCTGAATATGGTCTACACCCTACTTCATACCTACCATAACTCTGAGTATTTAACAGGGATTATATTGAAACAAGCCATTTACTCGATAAAAATTGATAACATAGAGAGTATGTTTATTCTGTGCATGAAGGGTATATAAAACATGCAGGAAGTTCTGTAAGCAGTGAGAACACAAAAGTGTACATAAGCCGTTATAGTACGGGACTAAATGTAGCGTCAACTAAAACAATTTCTTGGTGAAACAACAACGGAAATAATTTATTTTAACTGAGCTAAGATTTGTGATGACAGAAGCACCTAACACCCTGATCGCTGTCTGCGTTCCTGGTGGACGAGGTTGCGGCAGTTTGGACAAGAGAATATTATAAGCCTACGGTAACATCACACCGTATTTCACGATCAAGATCATCCTCCCAACAAATTCTTCCAATCGTCAAAGTTTTATGACTGAAATAGAAAGATGTCGGTTGATGGAAGATGTCGACGACAGACGTACAACAATTCGTTTGCCTTTAGATGACGAGGATTTTATACGTTCAACGATTTGGAAAGAAGTAAAATGTCGACTGAGTATCAATAATGTTTAATGAGGTGTAATGATATCGACTCACGTGCACTTGTATGGAGGGACATTTAACTGAAGACTGAAAACCGGCGTACAATAATGACGACATCAATATATCCGTGAACTTATAGCAGAGTATAATGATCAACTGAAATTGATCTCCACCCTACACCATACTTCACTATATCCATGACCTGACGGCAGAGTATATTGATCACCTGAATATGGTCTACACCCTACTTCATACCTACCATAACTCTGAGTATTTAACAGGGATTATATTAAAACAAGCCATTTTACTTGATAAAAATTGATAACAAAAAGAGTAAGTTTATTCTGTGCATGCAGGGTATAAAACATGCAGGAAGCTCTGTAAGCAGTGAGAACACAAAAGTGTACATAAGCCGTTATAGTACGGGACTAAATGCAGCGTCAACTAAAACAATTTCTGGGTGAAACAACAACGGAAACAATTTATTTTAACTGAGCTAAGATTTGTGATGACAGAAGCACCTAACACCCTGATCGCTGTCTGCGTTCCTGGTGGACGAGGTTGCGGCAGTTTGGACAAGAGAATATTATAAGCCTACGGTAACATCACACCGTATTTCACGATCAAGATCATCCTCCCAACAAATTCTTCCAATCGTCAAAGTTTTACAAATGGCTGAGTATTTTCTTATGTTTTCGAAAAACACTGCTTGTCTAACTTAACTAAAAATTTCGTGCCAAATATCTTATCCAAATTTAAACGCGCGAGGCTAGATGGTCCTGCTATTTTCATTTATCCGCTTAAAATTAAAAAAGAAATCAATCACCAGGAAAATTCAAATGGAGACTTAAATAACAAAAAAAAATCGATAATTAGTGAGTAAAGAAATAATTTTCGTTATTTTATGCATGAATGCATCATTTCAGTGAATTTTAACAAACGATGCAAATGATATGGCAGGAATTTTACAATTTTTCTATGGCTCCAATTGGAGGCAGCGATCCATTTTTAGCATCCTTCAGTTGATAGTAAATATTCGTTGAATAACTTTTTATCAATTTCAAACCGATACTCGACGAATCGTAAATAAAAGTTAAACTAACAATCCAAATGCATGGCCAAATTTAGTTTTTATGGAGTCAACAATTGCTAGCTCTTCGTATCTCTCAGCCTTGCATTGTGAATTGAAAGAATTCGTACAATCGTATAGGTTAGCATAAGGTTATCGGAGGCCTAGGTTTCGTCGAACTAGGCGACCAATTTATCGAATACCATTTCTGCCATGAATGCGAAATTTCATTGAGGAACGAAGCAAAGATAGAAGCCGTGTTTTTCAAATCGTTCGACGAGCTTCTTGAGATATGCCCTGCGAAAAGTGGACTGCGCATTGCAGGACCAGCAGTCATAATCTACCGTGCCATGTTGCATATCAAACAAGCAACTGTCGACGAACTGTTCAGAACTTGTCCCCGAAAATACGGCTAAGAGAAAATGAATACTGGAGAAGCCATGTCTTTTAAAGGCCCGCTCGATTGCAGCGACCGGGATATTTTCCAAGTTTTTCTTGGGATGGATGTTATCAGGTCATAGCGTGCATACACGACGCGTATCGCCTCGTATCAGGACATTATGTTCGGGAATATGCTTGCTGTTGTCGTCGGATAGACGGCCGTACGATGCACACGGGAGTTTATCTCTTCGTAAGTATATCGCAACGCCCAGAATTTCCGAGGCCTTCGATAAAATTCCCCGATCAACAATGTTTGACAGTTAAATTGTACCAGATGCTGAAAGTTGTACTGCATATAAATGAGGCTATTCAGTGATCATGTAGACTACAGTATATATAATGATTAATTATTTACTTACAATATATGAAATGAATAATTAATTAATTACAGAATATTGAATGATTAGTCCAGTGTTACAGAGCAAGTTCATTAATTGCTTGTAAGGTTATTTATTTGCATTGTTTCTCTAGTCTTTGGGTCAGTGAGAAATTTTGAAGCTGCAAACTATGCAATCCTTGCTGATATATAGACCTCGACTACCAAAATGTGAATTGAAATTCGATAAAAGATTCATCAATAAATCCTGAGAAAAGCACTTCAAACTTTCTTTAACCAGAGTCGTTTATGAGAAATTGCCGTTTGAAACTGCGTTTAATTCCTCATGACTTTAGTTTTTTGCAGCCTTCATTGCTCCATATATTTCATTTTTAACGAGCCTGTACTTCGGTCAGTGCCTTACGAGTCCTGGGCACAACAGCGCGGCCATACACTGGGCAATCAAGGCCTGGCAGAGCGATCATCTGCACAGATAAACTCCAAGCCTATATGTGGCATTCAAATGCGATTGATCATAAAGTACTGATATCATGATGAATTATCAGAGATATGATGGGGTGTGTCTCTAGTGAGGTGTCGAGGTATTAAACTTGGCGATCATTTTCATCGGAGGCTTGAGCCTGTCCAAAACCAGGCGCTATTTCAGCCACCAAATAGCTAACATAAGCTCTTGAAACACATGCTTTAGGTGACTGACGATGAACGTCGATGCCATGGCTTTTAATTGTGTCTCTAGCTTGCGTTTGGGGGCGCATCTGTAATGAGGATTTGAGGCGAGATGCCCACCATAGGACGCTCGATTGATTCTGATATCGCAAGAGATCTATTGGAGGGCAGCAGTTACTGGGCAAACGCCCTCTTCAATGCAATCAAAACCAAGGATTCAATACAGGGAATTATTGGTAAGGACATAGAATTCCATCAGATGAAT